AAAAATTCTAGCCTGCAAAGTTTCCATTGAAAAATTAGCTGATAGTCTTATGGAAACTCCCCTATAGGTAACTAACTGATTTTCTCTTGCTGCTTTGAAGAGCCTCTTTTTATCTCTGACCTTCGGCATTTTAATTATGATGTGTCTTAGAGTGGACCGTTTTTCATCCATCTTGTTTGCAGCCTCTTGTTTGGGGCTCTGTGCTTACTGGACTTGCACATCTATTTCCTTCATCAAATTAGGGAAGTTTTCTTTCGTTATTTTTTCAAAGAGATTTCCAATTTCTTGCTCTTTCTCTTCTCCTTCTGGCACCCCTATGATGCAAATGTTAGATTTTTTGAAGTTGTCCCAGACGCTGCTTACACTATCCTCATTTTTTTGGACTACTTTTTGTTCTAGTTGTTCTGATTGGTTGCTTTTTGCTTCCTTACATTCCAAATCATTGATTTGATTCTCAGCTTCATCCACTCTACTGATGTTTCCCTGTAAATTCTTCTTTATTTCAATTAGTGTATCCTTCGTTTATGACTAGGTCTTTTTTATGCTGCCGCAGTCCTCACTATGTTCCTTGAGCATATTTATAAACGGTGCTTTGAACTCTGCATCTGATATGTTGCTTGTCTCCATTTTGTTTAGTATTTTTTCTGGAGTTTTGATCTGTTCTTTTATTTGGGTTATGTTTCTTTGTCTCCTCATTTTGGCTGCCCACCCCCTGCCATGTTTGTTTCTATGTATTATTAAAGCTGCTCCCTGTCTTGGCAGTGTGGCCTAATGTAGCAGATGTCCTGTAGGGTCCAGTGACACAGCCTCCCCTATCATCCAAGCTGGTACTGGAGGTATACCTTTTATGTGTACTGAGTACATTCTCCTCTTTTAGTTGAGTCTTGATTGCTATTTGCAGATCAATGGAAGGTATTTACCCAGGCCAGTCAGCTGCAAGGACTGGCTGTGACCACTGACCACCAATCTCCGCCCTCCGCGGAAGATTAGCTATGCAGAGACAGGGTGGTGGTGCTATGACATGTCCACTGGGTGTGCAGGATCTGGGGTTTCTCAGGTGATGCAGGCCAAGGTCACCCCCCACCTGTGTTCTGCCCAGGGCTGCCTGCCTGAGCTATAACACAATCTGAGATGGTTGCCATTTGTGCTGGGCTTGGAGATTCCCAGGCAAAGCGAAGGTGTGAATCTAGGTTGGCTGCTACTAGTGCTGGGCCTGGGACCACTTAGCAAGAGGTACAGGGACTAGGGACTGGGGACTTCCCGAGGACAGGTGTTGCTTGTTTGATATGATTTAAGAAGTTGTAAAGCATGAGCCAAGACCAGCCATTCGTATGGAAAAGCAGCTTGGGTGGTCCTGTAAGTTGAGTGGGATGGAGTCTCTGGGGACCCTCAGGGCAGAGCAAACAGTGCTGGCCAGGTTGATGGCGTCTCAGATATGGCACAAGCTTGCCAGCTCTGTGGCTTTGTCGGGGGAAGGTTCAGAAAAGAGACATTGGCCTCTGCCTGCCTTTCTATCTGGGAGAAAGCTATCCCCCAGCTCCCACCTTGATGCCAGTCACTTCAGTTCCTCCCCATATGCACTGGTGCCTTTCAAGCTGCTACCCTGGTGCTGGAGCTCAGAGGGAGTGAGTCTGAATTAGTTCCTGTGTGGTTCTTTTTTTTTTTTTTTTTTTTTCCTTGTAGCCATTTTCAGGGACCTTAAAGACTTCAATGTCTTCAAGGCTCATAACATGGCCTTCCTATTGCCAGTTCTCTCTAAATTTCTGCAGAAACACATTCAGGTAAGCAGACTTATTGACTGACTTTTGAGTGGGTTCTTTAAGGGGAACTGCTTGGGTCTCCAGAAGTTTCTTCTATTGACTCAGTTCCTGCTGATGTTTGCAGTCAGAAGTTATGGGAGCTTATCTTCCTGTCACTGGAACCCTGGGGGTCCTGGTGTGCGGCTGGGACTCCTCACTCCTGAGATACCCCTCCTGAATTTTTATCCAACACAGGTAGACATGGGACCAGCTTGTTCCATATCTCCACCTCTCCTACCAGTTTCTTTAATTCCGCAGTTGTCAGGCTTGCATTCAGCTAGATTTCTGACAGTTCTGAGTGATGGTTGTTCTATATGTTTTTTGTCATTTTGATGTGGTTGTGTGAGGAGGCGAGCTGTGTTTACCTATGCTAACATCTTGACTGGGAGTGGCAACAGAGCACATTTTTAACTAGCCTGTACAGTAACCCTATCTATGCCTTGCTTTTTCCCACCTTCATGTACTATTCCTTATGTTCCCTCTTTTAATTTCAAATGCAAAAGAGCAACTGCAAACTGTCATTCTGGGAAGCATTTTTTACAATCTTTTGAGATCTTGCTTCCAGGTATATCCTCCGTCTGGCTACAATAAGTGCTAATAAGTTCTTTTAAAATTTCTAAGATTTGAAAGTTCTTATCTGATACCACAAAGCCTTGTTATTTTAGTGCACTGTGTCGCAGAACTGCAGGTTTTTCAGGAACTGCATGTATCAGGTTATAATAACAGAACAACCTGTACTCAGAATGAAGCAGGTCCTCCCTTTTCCAACAAGCATTCTTCATGGGTACTGAGTGGCCCTCCAGGTAGCCAGGATCCCGGTACCCACCTCCCTCTGAGAGTGGAACAACTCCCAGGGGGGCTGTGAGACAATTCTCTGGGGTTTGGGAACCATAGCCCATCAGAGTTCCCCTCTTCTCTCCTCCCTCCAGACTCCCAGACCGCTCAGGAGAGGCTAAGTGAAAAGACTCAAAATTTTGCACTTGACAAGCTTGCAGGTCTTGAACAAATCACTGAACCTCTGCCAACTGTTTCCTCTTTTTTCCCCTTTCCAAGGGCATTTTAGAGGGGAGGGGTATTGGGAGACAGAGTAAAAAATGGTGATGGGATTGAGAAGTACTACTTCACCATGTATAATGTGCACCCACATTTTTGGCCCAACATTTCAGAAAAAAATTTAATTTTTTAATTGATTTACATTTAGATACTTGTTTTTTGTATAATAAAGGAACTTCAGCATTTACTTTTTGAACATAGGGTACAAGAAATTTTATGTAACAAATAATTACAAAACACAAGAACAGATACAAGGTACAAGGAATTTTATGTACCGGTAATGATTTACAGTATTTACGCATCATAGAAGACCAAGAACTCTTAGTCACTGTCAATATCAGAAATATCATCTTCTTCAGCCCTGGCTGGTGTGGCTCAGTGGACTGAGTGCAAGGCTGTGAACCAAAGGGTCGCTGACTTGATTTCCAGTCAGGGCACATGCTTGGGTTGTGGGCCAGGTCTCTAGTAGGGGGTGCGTGAGAGGCAACCACACATTGATGTTTCTCTTTCTCCCTCCCTTCCCCTCTGTCTAAAAATAAATAAATAAAATATTAAAGGAAAAGAAAAGAAAAGAAAGAAATGTCCTCTTCTTCAATTTCTACATTACTGGTGTCTTTTGAAGAGTCACTTTCCTCACACCGGTAAATTTCATGGTCCTCAGTTCCATCCATAGCATTGCTGATGCTGCAATTTTTAAACGATTCCACGACCACTTCCTCCTTGACGCCCTTCTTAATACTGTTCTACGATCTTAGGATCCAATCACAAACCTGGGCGATGGATGCTTTCTTCATCCTGCCTATAGGTATTTAAATCATTACCAGCTGACTGCATCCAAGATGACTGCTCTTTCTCCATTTAGGGCCTTAAAGGGCTTGTTTACTGACACACCAAGAGGTTGCAGTTGGCTGGCTAGCCCACTGGGTATCACAGCAAGTTGGATTTTCAAGTTCACTGTGATTGCTTTTACACTTTGTGTAACATGGGCTTTGAAGTGATCAAAAACAAGCAAAGCTGATTTAATACGGAATTAGTACTACCCATGTATAATGTGCATCCTTATTTTTCCCTCAAAAATTTTGGCAAAAAAGTGCGCATTATACATGGTGAAATACAGTAATTGGTAGTTACAAAACAGCAGAAGGACTATAGTTCATGACACTGTAATGTAATTTATGGTACCAGGTGGGCACTTCAGTTATCAGAGGGAACATTTTATAACCTACAGGAATGTTGGTCAGCTGTGCTGTACGCCTGAAACTAACACAGAAAAAAGTGTTGACTGCAAATTGTAATCGAAAAATAAATTTAAAAATTAATAAGATGAAATACATGAGATGGCATTTTTAAAACACATTTTTGTTTTTTTAATTTAAAAATCTGCCTTTGGTTCTTGCCATGTCATTTACAGTCCGAGACCTGGACTTCAATTCTCTTACGCGTCCTCGGTAAAACGGGGTCTAAGCCCTCTCCGCCTCCCACCCGGTAATCAAAGTTCCTATTATGCGAGGCGGGAATCCGCGCGGGTACGAGTTCTGGCTGCGGAGACAGGAACCCACAGCTAGTGGGGAAGACAGATGTGGCTGTGCTGTCCCCAGGGACAGCAAACACATCCTGTCAGCCCCGTCTTCCTCGCAGAGGCCTCACCATTGGCCCGATTCCCTAGCTTGCTGGTGCCACCAACGGGCTCCCGAAGCCCGAGGTTTGTGGGCTGCCCCCGGCAAGCGCGGGTCCGAGAGCGGACTACACTTCCCGGCGTGCACCTCGGATAGGGGCCCCCCAGGGGCCGTCCAGCAGCCGGGACCGCGTCCGGCCATTGATAAGAGGCTCTGGGCAGCAACCATCCTTTACACAGCTCCTTTTTGCTTTGCGAAGCGCTTCTGTCGCCATCAGCCCCACCTTGGGCCGCAGCCCCCGCAGAGTCTGTGAGGCACGCTCCCCCCGTTCTCCTTCCCTCCTCCACGCGTTCGGCCACTGGGTCTCAGGGAGGATCCAAGGCCAGGCTCATTTCTCCGGGAGGGTTCCTTGGCCCCGCGAAGTCCCCACCGCCGCCAGTGGGGTTCTAGGGACTGGGGCGGGCCGCGGAGCCGCGCAGGGGAAGACTACAACTCCCAGGCGGCGCCTCGGCGGCGGCCACACGTCACTCGGGCCCCGCCAGCGGCCCGGGGAAGCAGCGCGGGCGGGGGCAGGGGCTGGGGCCGACCCGGAGGCTGGTGCAGAGGATGGGGGCCGCCTGGCCGCCCCGAGCTTGAGAGGCCGAGGGGTGCGCCACCCCGTCTAGGGGCGGGCGCCCCCCAGGCCAGCCACCCCGCCCCTCCCGGCAGTCGTGGCCCGGGATGCGGAGCCGGGGGCCGCCGGTGGAGCTGCGCGGGGTGAGAGGCGCGGGGAAGGGGGCTGCCAGCTGCCCTCGCCCTCGTCCCCCACCGGCGGGCCCCGGCAGGAATTCCGGAACCGGGCGGCCAAGGCCTTCTTGGCTCCCTGACGTTTGAGAGGGACCGGTGAACCCGCTTCCCTACCCCCACCCCGCCCCGCCTGGACAGCTGAATCAGAGCGGACGACCCTGCCCTTTTAAAGCGGCTTCTTCTTGCTCCTGCGGAGGGCTCCCCAGCCATGGCCCCCAGGAGCTCCCTAGAACCCGCAGGGACTGCCCCCAATCCTGGCCACCGGGGCCCGCCCTCTGCAGCCCGCGGGCAGCCTGTCTGAAGCGGTCTCCCGCAGCCCCCGGCCCCTCCCCCATGGAGGAGGAGGAGGGGGGCGCGGCGGCCAAGGAGTGGGGCGCGACCCCCGCGGGGCCCGTCTGGACCGCAGTGTTCGACTACGAAGCGGCGGGCGACGAGGAGCTGACCCTGCGGAGGGGCGACCGCGTCCAGGTGCTTTCCCAAGACTGTGCGGTATCTGGCGACGAGGGCTGGTGGACCGGGCAGCTACCCAGCGGCCGTGTGGGCGTCTTCCCCAGCAACTACGTGGCCCCCTCCGCACCCGCCGCACCCGCCAGCCTCCAGCTGCCCCAGGAGATCCCCTTCCACGAGCTGCAGCTAGAAGAAATCATCGGTGTAGGGGGCTTTGGCAAGGTCTATCGGGCCCTGTGGCGTGGCGAGGAGGTGGCCGTCAAGGCCGCCCGGCTGGACCCTGAGCGGGACCCTGCAGTGACAGCAGAGCAGGTGCGCCAAGAGGCCCGGCTCTTCGGAGCACTCCAGCACCCCAACATCATTGCCCTCAGGGGTGCCTGCCTCAGCCCCCCACACCTCTGCCTGGTGATGGAGTATGCCAGGGGGGGTGCATTGAGCAGGGTGCTGGCAGGTCGCCGGGTGCCCCCTCATGTGCTGGTCAACTGGGCTGTGCAGGTGGCCCGGGGCATGAACTACCTACACAATGATGCCCCTGTGCCCATCATCCACCGGGACCTCAAGTCCATCAACAGTAAGTGGTGTCCTCCCCGCAAAACTTGCTTTCACAGAACCTTAGGAGATCAGGCCTAGGTGGTGGGAAATGGGGACACCAGAAAACACTGCCTGGGGCAAGAAGGGGCAGCAGTTATACCTTCAGGGTCCAGCGAGGTAGGCCTGCCCCATTCAGGGAGAAAAGGATGGTTCAGGAAGTTTGAAGGACTACCTGCCTCCCAGGCTCCAGAGTCACAGTGGCTCAATAAGTATGTACCCGTGAACACTGTGGCAGGCCCTGGTCCCCAGTGTGAACAGGGCAGATGCAGTGCCTGCCCTCATGGCACTGCCTGTCCAGCCAGGATGCCAGGATCCACCAGGCAGAGACAGGGAGCCTGGCCTAGAGTGAGAGTTTCTCAATCTTGGCACTGTTGACCTTCCAGGAGGGGTGATCATAGAGTCTGTCTTGTGCGTTGTAGGTTGCTTAGCCGCATCCTTGGTCTCTACCCACTAGATGCCGCTAGCATTCCCCACCTCCAGCTATGATAAGCAAAATGTCTCCAGACATTGCCAAATGTCCCCAGGGCAGCAAAATTGTCCCTAGTTGAGAATCACTTCCTGGAGTCCTCCTACACCTCTGCTCCAGCTGGCTGAGGCAAACTGGGAAAGATGAGGAAGAAGGAAAAGAGACTGCCTTATGTAAAAGCTTCCAGGCTGCCGAGCCTGACATGAGCTCTCAAAGTTGATTGGTTGTTGAATGAGGACTGGGGCCAGCTAAAAGGGAAGGTTCCTCAGGACCCACACACATCTAGATCAAAGAGCTTCTCCTGATGTCAGCAAATATTAATTGAGCCTCTATTAAGTAGGAGCCAAACGGGGACCAAGAAGGCCACGATATGTGTCCTAATGTCCTACCTGCAAACTAGAGATTGCATTCATTCCCTGGTAGTTCCAGAGCATTGTTTGCCAGACCCTGTCCTGGCGCCTAAGGATACAGTGGGAAAAACCCTACTTTCCTGGCTCTACTATCCTTCCTCTGCCCCCTCTCACTTCCTTTCATTTCTGCGTTTACTTATTTATTCCTTAAGTTAGTATTTCCTGGGCCAGATCATGTGCTAAGCTAGAGGGATTGATAATGAATAACACCAGCATGTTCCCCGCCCTCACAAGAACTGTGAAGTGTTCTCCTCAATCCTCACATCTCATCTATTTCTGATCCCTGTTAATTCTACATCTTGAAATTTGTTTGAATCCATCCCATTATTTTTATAAGTTTGTTGCTGTGCCCCCACCACCACCTAGAACAGAGGAGTGAGTCGTCCTTACCTCCCAGGTCTGGCATTGGTACACTCAACAGAGAGCTACCAAGTGTCTGAGGTGTGTCAAGCCCTGAACCAGGGCTGGAGAATGAAGTGAGACAGACATAGTTGGTTCCTGCCTTCACAGATGCTCGTGCTCTACCTCCTCTGAAATGCTTGGTCAGTGGAGGCAGGACTACCTGCATGCTCCTCTTGGAGACTGGGACACCTTCTCAGCTCTTCCTCACCTCTGCTAATTCACATCCTACAGTTGGGGTATAAGGACACTGCTGTCACACCCCTGTTTTTGTGTAGCCAGTGCCATTAGAATAAAGGGTTGGTGGGACTCTTCAGGCCAGAGCTTCCTGCTCAGGCAATGGTACTGCTCTTGCCTGACACAGAGGACACAGAGCCTCAACAGCACTGCTCCACCCAGTCACCCTTCCCTAAGTAGCTCCTCATCTGATGTCGTACATTCATCGGGTCTTTCAACCAATAATCCTTAAGCAGAATTAAGCATCCTAGGCACTGTCCAAGGCTGTGGGATTACAAAAGTGAACAGGGTAAGGTTCCCTTCTCATGAAAGTGACAGTCTAGTGAATAGAAATAGGCGGTTGATATTTAGATAGATAAAATTTCCAGAAAGTATCAGGCTCTGAAGGAAATAAAGCAAATTAAAGATGGGGCAGAGAGAGCTCTTTAGATCGGGTGGTCAGGGAAGGCAACATTTGAACAGAGACCTGTACAAACAGGACCCGGTTTACAAAAATGTGGGTAGGGCAAAGGACGTGAGGAGGGAATAAATGTGCCTTGTTGGAGAGACAGCAAGGAGACCCAAGGGGTTGCAAGAGTAGAAGTGAGGCCAAGGTAGAAGCAGATGAGGTCAGAAAGGTAGGCAGCGGCCAGATCCTGTTGACCTTGGGGGCTACGCCGAGGACTTCGGGCATTTTATTCAGTGTAGTAGAGGCCAGTGGAAGGTTTTAAGCAGGGGATGACATGATCAGATATATATTTTAAAGGAGACTGATGTAGGCCCAATCTGGAAGATGCAGAAATAAAGTGTATGGCCATGAGGTTGCAACCTCTGTCACAGGGTCACTCCACGAAGAGGAGAGGTAGGGACCTAAGAAGGAAATACTTCTGGGAGTTGGAGTCAAGACTAGAGAGTCATGGGAGGCTGCCAGGAAGAGGTGGCATTTGAGACAGGCTTTGAAGAGTGGACAAGATTACCAGCTGTGAGACCAGGGGAAATGTTCTGATCTCTTTAACCCCTAGTCTCCATCTGCCAAATGGACATGATGCTAGAATTACCTCATTGTTATTGTGAGTGGAGAAGTAACCAAGAAGGGTCAAAGATAAAAGTGGAGAAATACGGAACGATTATGGCAAGATCACACACTGATAGTAATTGCCAAACTAATGCTTTTAAAGGACCTACTGTTGCTTCAGGCAATAAATCTTTACTACAACCCTATAAGGTAAATAACAGAAGAGAAATTTTAGTGGTAGGAAAAATAAATTATACAAGATTATGCAGCTAATAAGAGGCAGAACTGGAATTCAAACCCAGGCGGTACACCTTATACTCTGGCACTTCTGACTGATGGAAGGTAGTAGAATATCATAGCAGCGTTGGGCTCTGATGGCAGATCTACTTCAGGTCTTTGCCCCACCATTTTCAAGCTGTGTGATCCTGGCCAAGCGACCTCATCTTTCTCAGCCTCAGTTTGCTAGTCAGCAGAATGGGTTGCTTGCTAGTTGATTCATGTAAATGAATATAATGAAATGAATATAAATGAAATAATTCATGGTTGCTTAGCACTGTGCCTGCCACAGAATAGTCTCCTGATCAGCGCCGGCCGTGATCATCGTTACTGTTGGTGTTGACAGCGGGCAGCCAGTGAGTTGAAACCATTCAATATGCTTGGGGGATGCATCCATCCGGATTTGTCACAATGCTGTTGTGGTACAAACTACCCCCGAAACTCGGAGTCTTTGAACTCAATGTCATTTATTACTGCTCATATATCTGCAGGCCAGCTGAAGGGTAAATGATTTAGGCTGGGCTCAGCTGGCAAGGCTTTGCTCCAACTATCTCTCATCTTCCCTGGACCGGCAGAAGTGCAAGAGGACAGGCTGGCACGTGAGGTGTCTTAAGGCCTCGGCTTGGCACTTTCATTTCTGCCTCTGCTGGCCAAAGCGAGTCATATGGCCAACCCAGAGAAAAGGATGGAGAAATGCACTCTGCCTCTAGCGGAAAGACCTGCAAAGTCACATAGAATATGGCACAGAAAGGAGTAGAATTGGGCCCCCAGTGCAGTGTACACAGGGGATGGCAAAGAAAATCCCTTCCGCTCATGGTTTGTAGTTTCTACTTCTGGGGAGGCTAGGAGTTCAAGGCTGGAGCAAGGAGAACCAAGGCCTTGGCCATCGACCTTTCACTGAGCTCCCCAGGGTCTCGCCTAGAGTCAGAAGGACAGGGGCCTCATGGGAGCCTGGGGCAGGGATTAGGCCGCCCACCTGAGGTGGGAGGGGGGGAAACGAGATTCCAGCTGAGGCAGGGCCAGGACTTGCAGTGTCCAGCCCTCCAGGTCTGGGGTGACTGCCTTTCTTCCTACCCTGCAGTCCTTATTCTGGAGGCCATCGAGAACCACAACCTTGCAGACACGGTGCTCAAGATCACAGACTTCGGCCTCGCCCGCGAATGGCACAAGACCACCAAAATGAGTGCTGCGGGGACTTACGCCTGGATGGCCCCAGAGGTTATCCGTCTCTCCCTCTTCTCCAAAAGCAGTGACGTCTGGAGGTGCTGATGGTGGGGCTGGGGAGGCCTCCTGGAAAGGGAGGAGTGAGGAGGGGTGAGGGCTGAGTGGGAGGGACAGCCTCCACCTGAAGCCAGGATCCGGGCCTAGCATAGGGGCTGGCTGGCAAGGTCAGACCATTAGGCAGGCACCGAAGCAGGTCTCTGCTCTGCCAGCCAAAGCGGCAGCTGAGGATGACTTGGATTGCAGGGATGGGGGCGGGGGGCAAAGATATAGAAATAGGATGCTATCAGTACCAAAGGCCCTTCAGACGCCAGCCAGTACAAGGCTCCCACTTGTCAAACAGGAACTTGAGGCTTTTGGAGACAACCATTCATCCACCCACCCATCCATCCATCCATCCAAGTGTACTGGGTGTTAGGGATTCAGCAGGAAATAAAAATATACACATTATCTGCTTGCAGGGATAGTAAATAACTAAGTACACAAGAAGCTGATAAAATTTGTTTTTAAGTTAAGAACATTGTAAAATAATGTTAAAAGATAAGTTAATTCACCAGAAAAAGCATTAGACAGCATCACAAGCCAGGAGGTTGATGGAGAAGTGCTCTGAGGGCTGGAGGACTCCGTGAGGAAGGCTTTTCTGAGACGTGGTACTTGAGCTGCTTTCTGGGCGATGAGGCAGAACCAGCTGTGCAGAGTTTGGGGGAAGAAGCTTCCCAGGCAGAGGGAACAGCTTGCACAAAGGAGGGACTGAGGTGAGAACAAGATTGGTAAGTCCCAGAGACAGCAATGAGGGCGCACGTGGTTGACGTAGAGGAGGGCAGGAAGGCCCCTCGGTGCAGCCCCGAGGTCCGGTTTTATTTCTAAACATGGAAAGCCATTCAAGGCGTTTATGAATGACATGATCTGAGTCAGCCTTGCAAAGTCTCCCCTCCAGCTGTAGGGCAGAGGATGGATTATAGGGGAAGGAGCGGGGGCAGGAGGCCAATGAGGAGGCTGTTGCCATCACCTGCGAGGCTTTGTGGCGGCAACAAAACTCTTCAACCTAGGGTCTTCGACTGGTCCCCAGCTGAGGCTCCAGGTGGACCAAGCAGCAAAGTCATGGCTTTGGGGCAGACAGATCAGACAGGACGTCTCAACCAGAGCAGCACTGCCCTTTGGGGGAAGTCCTGAATGGCTTCACATCAGGCATTCATTTGTGGTCCCTGACATGTAGCGGAGCCATATTTCAGTGGCAAGGAAGAGAAACCTCAAAAGCAAGACTGAAGTCTTTGCTGTCACGTAAAACCAGGACTGATATAATGTTAGAGATTCAAGGCCTCGTGTCATGGTTCCTTAATGGGGGTGTCATTGACTTTGGACAGGATAATTCTTGTTTGTGTGATACTGTCCTATACTTTTCAGGGCAAAAGTATCCATGGTTCCCAGCTGCCGAACTTCAGTATCACTCCCCAGTCGTTGTGACAATCAAAACAGCCCCATAGGTTCCCAGGGACATAGGAAATGTAGGGGGTCATGCCACCTCTAATTACAAGCCACTCTTATTTTTTTCCACCTTGTATGGCCTCCATTCCCAAGTTCACTTCATGGTCCAAAATGGCTTCTTGAGTTCCAGCTTTTAGGTCCACATTGCAACCAGTTGGAAGGAAAAAAACTGAAAGGGCACTCCTTCCCTTTCAGGACACTTCCTGGAAGTTTCTTGCACACTATGCACCCTCCTACAATCCCACTGGCCAGAACCATTGTCATATGGGCATATTTGGCTGCACAGGAGGATGGAAGATTAGTTCAGGCTGCATACGCCCAGCACAAAGTCACGAGGACTGCCACTGAGCAGGAAGGGAGGCTGTCGGCTGCATGAGGCAGGGGTTGCCTCTGTCTGGCTCCAGTGCCTAGAACAGTGTCTGGCACAACATGGATATTTGATAGGTGTGCGTTGGATGAATGCATGTGTGGATATGGGGAGCATGGGGGTCTACGACACGTTAGGCACTGCAGAGAACAGCAGCCAAGATCCCGGCGGAGAGGAGGGACACACAGGTCACTATAGCAAAGCGATACCTGCTGTGGCATTATGTAGCCATTAAGAACGTGGCCCTGGGCATCGAGCAGACCTGAGTGCAGGTGTGGCTCCACCACTTGCTGGCTCTGTGACTGTAGGCAAGTGGCTCGACCTTTTTGAGCCTGCATCTGCTCACCAGATAAAATGGGGGTCATGCCAAGATCTTCTGCCTTCCAGGGCTGTTGGGAGGATTACTGAGAGTGCTAGCAGAGTGCTAGCCAGAAGAAATGCTTTATAAATGTTAAATAGTGTTAACTTGTTTTCAGAGGTAAGTGCCAAAAGTTCAATGGGATCATAGAAGAGGGACCTTTAACCCAGCTTTGGAGGCTGTGGAGTCAAGGAAGATTTCCTGGCAGAGGGAGCACCTGAATTGAAACTCGAGGGACAGTTACACAAAAGAAAAAGTGTTCTCGACAAAGGGAACAGCATGTGCAAAGGCCAGATGTTAGGAAGAACAGGGCTTGTTCAACTCTTCAGCGTGGTTGCAAGATGAAGCTGAGGTTGGTATGGGGCCTGAGAGTGCTTAGAGGTAAGGCTACAGGGGTCAATCAAAGGCCAGGGCTAAAAAGAGAGGATTTGCCCAGTGGACACAGGAGACCCACAGAAGGTTTTCAGGTGGGGGGAAGGGGAAAGAGAGCAACACTACCGCATTTATTTGAGATTAGGACAATGGAGGTCAAATTAGGTTCTTCTGGCCTCATTGGCTAGACTGATGTTCGGGTGAGGGAGGCCCCCCCAGGGGACCAGAGGCAGGGCCGGTGTATAGGTGAGGATTAGGGCGGACTGCGGCATCACCCCTCCCTCTCCCCCACCTGCAGCTTCGGGGTGCTGCTCTGGGAGCTGCTGACGGGGGAGGTCCCCTACCGTGAAATCGACGCCTTGGCTGTGGCATATGGCGTGGCTATGAACAAGCTGACTCTTCCCATCCCCTCCACATGCCCCGAGCCCTTTGCCCGCCTACTAGAGGGTGAGCCAGGGCCCCGTGGAGAGGGTAGGGTCAGCTTGGGTGGCAGGGGCCCTTGGGCCCAGTCCTCGCCCCTTCACACCCACCCCTGCCAGTGGGCCCAGGAATAAGGAGGAAGGCACTGGACCCATCAGAGTATGAACAATCTCCCTGACAGTTGGCTCCATGGCCCCCAGAACCTTACTCTGGGCAGGCCCACAGCTCTTGAGGGCTCCCTGGATTCAATGAAACCTCTTAGGATTCATTGGTCCTGGGATCCCTCCCTGGTCCCTGATTCTACCACCAGTCAGGGAGCAGGTCCCTGGGTTTCTCTCCCAGAGTTTCACTGAATGACATGTTGCCAGGAGTCTGGGTTTGAATTCCTTTCCCTCAGCTCCATGGAAGCTGTCCACAGCCCCTTGAAGTTCTGGCTTTCACTGAGCAGGCTGGTGCCCCAGAGCATAGGCACTGACACCTCCACTCCCACCCCAGAGTGCTGGGACCCAGACCCCCACGGGCGGCCAGATTTCGGCAGCATCCTGAAGCAGCTTGAAGTCATAGAACAGTCAGCCCTATTCCAGATGCCGCTGGAGTCCTTCCACTCGCTGCAGGAAGACTGGAAGCTGGAGATTCAGCACATGTTCGATGACCTCCGGACCAAAGAGAAGGTAAAGGCAAGGGGCAAGGTGAGAGGCATGGAGCAAGGTGCCTGAGTTCCGATCCCTTGGGTGGGACAGAGTCCCTTCCCCTGAGCTGGGGCCAATTTTCTTTGGTGTATTAAGAAAAGACAGCCTGCTGTTGGTGGATTAATAAGGAAGAGGCACCCTGCACTGACGTACTTACAAGTGATCCCGCATGAAAGGGAGAAAGGAGAGAAGGAAGGGGACACATGAAAAAAGATTTGCAAAGTATAGACTATTATTGAATGATGGGTTCATGGGGACAGTATTCCTTCTCTGCTTTTGTGGTTGTTTTCAGTTTTCCAAATTGAAGAGTTAAAAAGTTAAAAATCAAAGAGGAAAAAAAGGCATTCTTTTCTTTGGGCTAACACAGCCTCCTGTCCTGGCATCCAGCTCGGCTAGCGAAGTGTGCTTTGGATTGTGCCCCCTGATTTGCTTCACAGCAGGACACTGCTGGGCAGGGCCCCAGCCAGACCAGGCAGCCCTGGGTCCATTCCAGGGGCAGGGTTGCTAAGCCTCTCCCCACAAGCTGCCCATCTCCTCTCCAGGAGCTCCGGAGCCGCGAAGAGGAGCTGCTACGGGCAGCTCAGGAGCAGCGTTTCCAGGAGGAGCAGCTGCGGCGGCGGGAGCAGGAGCTGGCTGAGCGTGAGATGGACATTGTGGAGCGGGAACTGCACCTGCTAATGTGCCAGCTGAGCCAGGAGAAGCCCCGAGTCCGCAAACGCAAGGGCAACTTCAAGCGGAGCCGCCTGCTCAAGCTGCGGGAAGGCAGCAGCCACATCAGCCTGCCCTCCGGTACCTCCTCCACCCCTTGCTCATCCCCCAACAAGCCTCTGAAGCATCCCTAACCTGGGGTTTATCACTTTTTTAAAAAACTTTTTTACTGCATAGTATATCACACACAGACAACCACCAAAAAACTGTATGGCTTAACAACGTAGTATAATCCCCCCCTTGAAAGCAAAGCAGAGAACCTACAGCTGCCCAGACGCCCTTCGCGTGCCCTGCAACCCCCTAAGAGGGACCCCTGCGTTGGCTTTCAGAGCAGTCACTGCCTGACTATAGTTCTGTACCCCAACGATTTGCTCAATAGCTTTTAATCCACCTCCTTTTCCTCCTTGCCAGTAATTTGTTGAAAATGCATCATTTATCCTGTAGCATTTCCCACAGTCTGGATTTTGCTGCTTGCATTGCCCTGGTATCACTTCACATGTCCCCCGAGCCCTGAATTTCCTATAAAGTGGTATTAGTTTCAACCGTGTGAAATCGCTGACGGTCAGCCATTTTTGACATACAGAGACAGAAGTTTCAGATGGCTCTCAACTTAATCAGATTGAAGTTCAGGTTTGATGTTTTTCTTTTTCCAAAGGCTGATTTCCTAGGTAATGTCCGAATGCTCATCCTCTGCCTGTGTGAGGTTACAGCCACAGAGCGGTGCCCTGAACAGCGCCAGCTCACAAAGACAGCGCAAGCCACGTGTGCAATTTTGAATTTTCTAATCGCCACATTAAGAAAGGGAAAGAGAAACAAGTGAAATTTTAATGATATACTTTAGCCCAATATAGTAAAATGTTATGGTTTCACATATAATAAATACAAAAAGACTTGTTATTGGGGTATTATACCTTTTTTCCATGCTAAATCTCTGAAGTCCAGTATGTATTCTATATTCATAGCACATCTCAATCCGGGGATTAAATTTTCATAAAAAATACTTGACCTGTATTTAGATTTCATAAAATATACTATAGAAGAAGTAGAGTCACACACCCAAGTTATTCCAAATATGCTTAACCATTTCTAATGACCAAATCTGCATATCCATCTTTAAAAGTAAACTTTAATTAATTACAATTAAATTAATTAGTTAAATAAATAAAGGTAAAATTCTCCAGTTCCTTGGTCCCATAAGTCACATTTCAGATGTTCAGTTGCCACATGTGGCTAATGGCCGCCATAGGGGGCACTCAGGCCTAGATCCCTAGTCAGCAGGGCAGCAGCTCTCAAAATTGAGCATGTATCAGAGGGACCTGGAGGGCTTGTTCCACCACAACTAGATCGCTGCACCTCACTCCTAAAGCTGCTAACTCAGGGACAGGGACAGGGGAGCGGTGCCAAGAACATGCATGTCCAGGATGTTTCCACTCAATGTCAGTGCCACTGGTCTGGCAACCACACTTGGAGAACCACTGCATTGAGGAATGCAAATGGCGGCGTGCTTTCTATGCTTCCAGAGGGAGCTGCTCTCGTGAACCACACAACTGTTTGCTCTGTTTTGCAGGCTTCGAGCATAAGATCACAGTCCAGGCCTCTCCAACCCTGGACAAGCGGAAAGGATCCGATGGGGCCAGCCCCCCCGCAAGCCCCAGCATCATCCCCCGGCTGAGGGCCATCCGCCGTGAGTGTCTCCCAAGACCCTGACCCGTCCACCAGTCAGCAAACTTCTCTGGGCGCATACCTTGCACCAAACCAGAGGAACAAGACAGGGTCCCCTCCCTCATTCTCATCAGGGGAAAGAAAACAAATACATCAGTAAGCAGGCAGGATAATTTCATGTAGGGATAAGCACTATAAAGGAAATCAGGGAAGGAAATAGAAGAGCTGCTGTTTTCCATCAGGAAGTCCTGTTTGAGGCGCTGGGGTTTGAGCAGGATCCTATGTGGCAAAGAGTGAGAGAGACATGCGGAGAGCTGAAGCAAGAGTGTCCCTGGCAGAGGGAACAGCAAAGGCGAGGGCCCCGAGGTAGGAACAAGCATGGCCTGTGTATCAGTCCACAAGACCAACTTGGCTGGAGTCCAATGAAAGGGAGGCAAAGCAGTAGGTTTGTGGTCAGGGATCCAACAGTGGTCAGATCATTCTGGGCCTGAAGAGCCGGGATAAGGAACCTGGATTTAATTTTAAAGGTGACAGGGGAGCCCTGGAGGGCTGTGAGCAAGGCAGTGATGTGATAAAACATCCCATGTGATAAAATTTTCCCTCTGGCTGCCGTGAGGAACATGGGTGGCAGGAGGGCAGGAGCGAGGGCGTGAGACAAGTGAGAAGACGGGCGCTGGGCCGGGGGAGCGCCTTGGAGGGGGAGGTGGCTGCAGTGGGGGCTGCCTGGCAGAGGTGTGGCCGTCGGGGTTTGCTGACAAGTCGAAGGCTACAGGGCTGGATCCTGAGGCTGTTCTCCCCATCATTCGCCTCCAGCCTCGCACCGCACACTGGCCCCCTGCACACCTCCAGGCACCAGCTTTGTACCAGGCCTGGGGGTCATTCTCATGGGGGACACGAAGACAAATAACGGCCACATAGTGGAATCAACATACTGGTATCAGGATGCATTTCAACGTGTGATAGAAACAGGGAAGACAGGGCAACTGACCATTCAGGGAACAAACTACTCCAGAGCTGGAGGCTTAAAGGGCAAGCAACCAACCAGGTCAGGGAAGGGGCTGAAGAGGGGCAGGATTCCAGGGGAAGGGCAGGGCCTCCGCAAAGACAGAGGTGTGAAAACACCCAGCTGGGATGCGGTAGACGCAGGGCTCCAAACATGGCACTTGTGCCTTCTGCCTGCATATCCTGACTCTAGCCGTCTCTCCTTCCCTCTCTCCGTCCACACTGGCCTCCTGGCTGTTCTGTGCACACTCCATGCTGCCCAGCCTCGGGGCCTTGGCGTTTGCTGTTCCCTCGGCCTGAAATGCTCCTCTGCCTTCTTCCTCACTCCCTCACTGCCTCGTGATTTTCCTGTTTTCCGCATGAAGCCTTCCCTCGCCACCAGACCCCTTTCCAGCTTCACATTTCCCACAGCACTTACCACCTTCTGATGCTGCACAGGTGATCTACCCAGTGTGTCTTGTTGATCATCTGCCTTCACCCACTAAGATGGCAACTCCAAGGGCAGGGGACTTTGTCTGCTTTGTCCACTGCTGTCTTTCAGCGCTTGCCACAGGGCTTGGTACAGAACAGGGACTCAGTAAACATTTGGGAATGAATGGGTGGTTGAAGGATTAGGCTGTCGGGAGTGATGGAAATAAAGCTGAGGAAGTCAACTGGGAATAACGTGAAGGGCCTCGAATGCCAGGCTGAGGAGCTGGGACAGTGTCCTGACGGCGGTGGGGAGCTATGGGCGGATTTAGAGCATGGAAGGGTCGTGATGCGAGTTTGGGCTTCCAGCCGGAGGATGAATCCGAGGTAGGGAGAGTGAAGCTGGGAGTCCAGCAGGGACAGATTTCCTAAGACACAGTAACCAAGTGGCTTCTCTCGGCCCAGTGACTCCTGTGGACGGTGGTGGCGGCAGCAGTGGCAGCAGCAGCGGCGGCAGTGGGACATGGGGCCGCAGCGGGCCCCCAAAGAAGGAAGAACTGGTTGGGGGCAAGAAGAAAGGCCGGACATGGGGGCCCAGCTCCACCCTGCAGAAGGAGCGGGCTGGAGGAGAGGAGAGGTACCCGCGGGAGCCCAGGCCGTGCCCGCCCCCAGGCCCGTGGCCACCCGAAGGCCCAGGACCGCCCCTGCATCTCTGGTTCCCCTGCAGGCTGAAGGCCCTGGGGGAAGGAAACAAACAGTGGTCATCGAGCGCCCCCAACCTGGGCAAGTCCCCCAAACACACCCCCATTGCCCCAGGCTTCGCCAGCCTCAATGAGATGGGTAAGAGGATAAGGGTGCTTTCCAAAGGGAGGGAAGGAGACATTCCCTGGCTGAAGAGGACCCTAAACCAAGATAAAGGGGTTACCATGCCCCAGGGTTGTGGGGAGGGAACCATATTTCACTGGGCCAGAGGGTAGAGAGCATTCCCCGAGAGGGGGGTGTGGGCATCACTCCCAGGGGCAGGGCGCTTTGGGGGGAGCCATGCTTAGGGGACTTGGTGGTCTTGCTGGTGGAGGGGTCATTGGGGGCAGCCCCTTGCCTCCAGGTCCCCAGCGACCTCCGGGAGTCCAGTGCCGGCCCTCTCCGGTTGCAGAGGAGTTCGCGGAGGCAGATGGAGGCAGCAGCGGGGCCCCCTCTCCCCACAGCACCCCGGCCTACCTCGCGGTGCCACTGCCCGCCGAGCCCTCCCCGGGGGCGCCGGCGCCCTCCCCGCGGCACGGGCTCAGTGCCCGGCGGCGCTGCGACTTCGCGCTGCTGGGCTGCGCCACGCTGCTGGGCGCCGTGGGCCTGGGCGCGGATGTGGCCGAGGCACGCGCAGCGGATGGCGAGGAACAGCGGCGCTGGCTCGACGGCCTTTTCTTCCCGCGTGCTGGCCGCTTCCCACGCGGCCTCAGCCCGCCTGCGCGCTCCCCAGGCCGCCGCGACGACGCGGGCCCAGGCCTGGCGCCCTCGGCCACCCTGGTGTCTCTGTCTTCCGTGTCCGACTGCAACTCCACGCGTTCGCTGCTGCGCTCGGACAGCGACGAGGCCGCGCCGGCGGCACCCTCTCCACCGCCCTCCCCGCCCGCGCCGTTGCCCAGCACAAACCCTCTGGTGGACCTGGAGCTGGAGAGCTTCAAGAAGGACCCCCGCCAGTCATTGACGCCCACCCACGTCACGGCCACTCGCGCTGTGAGCCACGGGCACCGGCGGACGCCCTCGGATGGGGCGCTGGGGCAGCGGGGGGCGCCGGAATCCTCGGTCCACGGCCCTGGTGAGTGAGGCAGCCTGCGCCCCGGGTGTGCAGAAAACGTCCCTTCTTCCCTGCCCCTGCGGAGATCCAGTGTCCCAACCTGGCAGCCATTTCCTGCTTAGCGTGGGAAGGAAGGGGCTTTGTCGCCCTCGCCCTCACTGCTGGAGGCATTGTGGGGCCCCAGGCGATTGAGACACAGGATGGTGCCGAGGTCGCAAACCCTAATGCCCATAGGGTCAGGCAGGTGACGATGGCGACGATAATAACTGTAGCTGATACTCATGTGCCTAGGCCCTGTTCTCTGGGCCTTTTCTAACCTGACAGAGATGATTGGAACATAGAGAAGTAAGTACCTCCTATCAGGCACTGAGCTACTGTTTGATATGATGATGGTGATGATGATGATTTGATTTATTTTTCTCCTGTTGGAGAGGTACTGTTATCCCCCACTTAAAGATGCTGTCATGCCTGAGTCTCTCCATAGCTCTGAGCTCTAGCCCAGTGTAGGAGAGTTAGGAGGGATGAGGGCTTTTCCAGCAGATTTTTGAGAAAATTTTCATGGCAACGATCCTGCCTTTTCAGTACCACGCTCTGCTCCACCCCACTCACCTCGTCTGATCCTCTCTTACCAGGCCCTCCAGATCCCCTGGACTTTCCCCGCCTGCCCGAACCCCAGGCCCTGTTTCCTACCCGCCGCCGGCCCCCCGAGTTTCCTGGCCGCCCCACCACCCTGACCTTTGCCCCAAGACCCCGGCCGGCCGCCAGCCGCCCCCGCCTGGACCCCTGGAAACTCGTCTCCTTCGGCCGGACACTCAGCGTCTCGCCTCCTAGCAGGCCGGACACTCCGGAGAGCCCCGGCCCCCTCAGCATGCAGCCCACGCTGCTTGACATGGACATGGAGGGGCAGAGCCAGGACAGCACAGTGCCCCTGTGTGGGGCCCATGGCTCCCACTGAGGCCTGCCCACTGCTACCCGCCTGGGCAGCCATGAATGTAGCGCCCCAGGCCTCCCACCAGGCCACAGGGCAGGGGAGGCCTTGGGCAGGATACTCTATTTATTGGGGAAGGGGGGAGGGGGGACACTTAATTTATTCCTTTGTACCCTGGGGGTGGGGCCCAGTGCTCACCCTGCAGCAGGGGGAGGGCGGGCAGGGATTCTCAGGGACAGGGCGACATGGGGACTCAGCACAAAATGCAGCATTAAAGGTAACCCCTGCCCCCACCGTGCTTGGCTGTGTGTCTTTCCCTGGCCCGGGCCCTGATCCTGGCTCGTCCCCAGTGGGGTGCCCCCCCCTTCCTCCCTCCCTGTTCCCCTCTGGATTTCCGAGGTCTGGGGGTGAAGCCCCGGCCTATGTCCCCTTCCTGGTTCCCACAAGAACATCACACAAGGAGGTTAAGATTACCAGTGATAAGGGCTTTACCAGCAAACACATGAGTCAGGGAAGTTACACAGTGAGGTGGGAGTGAGTAGGGGTAGGGACAGTCCCCCTCGGTGGGCTTCAGCCGACGATATCTCGAGGCCGGGCCCCACTGTCTTCCCGCTGGAGACCGCACCGGCTCATCTTCAGCTGAGTCAACTGGATGTAGCGTAGGACATTGGTGTCTGCAGGGCAGGTGGACGGGGCATTATCTGGGTGTTTGGGGGCAGCAGGTGACATCTGTGGCACCTCAGCTCACACCTCACTGTCCCCAGCTTCAGCGGCTCCCTCACTGGTATCACCAGAGCCCTTCTGCAAAAGCCGCAGACCCACCAAGGAAGGAAGCGCACCGTACCTCCAGGCGCCTGCGTTTGCTGTGCCGCTGCCGGGAGAGCCTCTGCTCAGAGGCTCCTGTCATGCTGTTTGTTGTCCGGTGACATTTGCATGAGGCCTGTTTTCTCCCAACCATTTACCTGGAAAACTCATCTTGCCTCCATTCCCACAGCCCCATGCCATTCACCAACCATGCTCCTTTTCATTGGCTCTTAATACAAAATTGTGCTCTGCATCTATCTGCACACCCACGCGCCCTGACTGTGATCTCCCGGAGAGCAGGGAACAAGCCTCCAGCCTGCCATCCCCTCCATCCTACCACCCCCCGCCCCCCGCAAATCCCTGGCATTTCCCATCCTGAGGTCTAGTCCCCCAGCAAGGGCTCCACAAGTGGTGGCTAGGAACACACGTGGACGAATAGGTGAGTGTGGGAAGGGGTTCGTGAGGGAGGGAGTGGATGAAGGAGTCGGGGGTGAGGGCAGGCGAGTGGATAGGGAATCTGCTGAATGGGAAGCATCAGAATGAGTCGATGTATAAGTGGCAGGTGCAAGAATGGGTGTGTGTATGAGTGGATGTGTAGAAGTAGGTGGAGACGTGGACTTGGGGTGGGTGGTCCGGCACTCCCTTGAAGTAGTTTAGCCCTGGCCTTCCTGCCCTTGTTTCCTCTGCTCTAGCCCCTTTCCCTGCTCTGCCCTGCCCCTTCCCTCACCTGTGGGCTCCCGGCTTCGAGCCTCCTGCAGGTAGCGCAAGGCGCGTGCATAGTCACCCAGGTGGTAGAAGGCAATGCCAGCGCGGTAGGTGGCCTTGAAGTTCCCCTGCTGCTTCTCCAGCACCTTGAGGCAGTACTCGCGCACCCGCTCGTAGTTCACCAGCTCCGACTGCAACAGGCAGGCTGCGGGGGGGCGGCACCAGGACCGGTGCTCTCAGAGCCTGCTAGCAACCCCAGACTTCACTGACCGCGAGGAGCACGGCTTTCAGGCTGCGGGAAATCCCCACCCTTTCCCACAGCGGAGCCGGGACTAAGATCTTATTCAGGCCACCAGGGACTGCCGAGCTCCTGACCAATCAGAATAGAATCAACATGCGCCTCCGCTAGAGGGCGCAAGAAACACAGACACAAGCTATGGGGCGATTTCATGGGGGGGGGGGGGGTCGGAGAGTACTACTAAGGGCAATCTCAGGTGAGGGATAGGGCCTTAAATGGTTCATCCAGGGTAAGTCCTTCTTACCTGAGGTTCGCGGGTGGCATCCCAAAGCCCACTTTCTACATCCCAGCTCCTTCCATCCCTGCGGTCCCCTGCATTGCCAACCTCTCTCCTTGCTAAGTTCTGATGTCTCCCCCCAGAGACCCCAGCCCTGGCCCCTTCAAGCCTCCGGCCTCCACCGCGCCCAAGGCTTCATGGTTGCCCCTCACTCCTCACTCCTGTCACATATGCACCCCCTGCGCCCTCGATGGCCGCGTACCCGTGAGACAGTCATAACATTCCACCTCCGTGTTCTCCACCAGTCGCTGTTGCTCCTCGCTGAGGCGCGCCGGCCCCGGGCTGGTGGCGGGCCCTGCGGCGGGGGCGGGCAGGCCTCCAGGGCGAGCCCCCTGCGCCGCCTTCAGTTGCAGCAGTGCTCGATGATACTTGCCGATGGCTTCCCGGAACTTCTTCTCTCGGTAGCAGCGCTGGCCCTCAGCCTTGAACGCCACGGCGGCCCGCAGGCTGCTGTCGAGCGCCGCGCCCAGGCCCCCCGACGGCTCTGCGGCAGGACCGGGCCGAGCCGACCCATGGCGGGGGCCCGGGCCCGGCGGGGAGAGGGCGGGAGGCGGGCGCGGCGGAGGCTCCGGGGCAGCGCTGAGCATCAGCACCGGGGACAGCGCGCCGCGCTGCATTGTGGGAAACTCCTGCGGCCGCCGCTGCAGCTACCGCTGCAGCTACCGCATCGCCCCCCGCGGGGCCGTTCCCCACCCTTTCTCCACCCCCGCACCTCCGGCAGCAGACTCAGGCTGCCCCCTATGGGTCTAGAGAAACCCCTCAAGACGTCCCCACTTTCTCCTTCAAATCAGCCCCAGCTCTTGTTCCCCAGCCCCCCTCTCCCCCCTCCCTATTCACCTTACTCCCCACACCCTCCTGCCTGCTCTCCTCCCCCGTGCCCAAAGCTCCCAAAGCTTTCTAGAAGAAAAGCACAAGTCTGGGGGAAAGAAGAGGAAGATTTCAACCTCGTGGAAAGCTGTTTTCAGCTCATTAGGCATTTGGTATTTTGGCTAAGGACACAGGCTATGGACTCAAGCTGCCCAGATTCAATTCCCTACTTTTTTTCCTCACCTAAATTGCCTGGAACCCTGTATTCTCCTCAGTAAAATGGAAGGGACAATGTAGCAACTTTGAAGCTCATTTCTTTATCTATGCAACAAATATTCACTGATATATTTTCTGTGCCCAGCTTTGGGGTGGGTGATGCTGGGACATAGCAGGGAGTGAGTGAGCCCCAGGCCCTACCCTCATGGAGCCCCTAACCCAGTGAGGACACAGACCTACTGGGCAGTGACAGCCCAGAGTGGGCCAGCCTGGGAAGCTCAGGCAAAGTGACCAGGACAGGAGGGGCGAGGCACAGGCAGAGGGGTTGAGCCCGAGGTGGAGGACACACAACAGGCTCTGAGGGCCTGGAGGAGGTGTCTTCCCTAGGCTACAGCAGTGAGCGAAGGCTTCCCGGGGGCGGGGGTGACTCTATGAACAAGAGATCTGCTTCTTGCCCTCACTGAGCTCACCACTGAGTAGGAAACCAGTGGGAATGCAGGTAGGTGACAGCCCAGAGTGAGAAGCACAATCATAAAAGTATACAGAAAAGAACACATGTGAGAGGCTTTGGGGAAAATGAGGCTGAAGGGGGTGCTTGTCTTTCAACACTCCTTAGCTACTTACTTAGCAGTGGAACCTTGGGCGAGCTCCTTGATCTGCCTCCATCTTGCCTTCCTTCTGTGTAACATGGGGATAACAAGTGAGCTTACTTCAGAGTAGTTGTAGGGACTGAATTGTGTTACGCAGATAAAGAACTTAGCACAGGGCCTGGTACCTACTGGGCAATTAACAACCTGTGTTTCTTATCGTCACGGAGACTGTGAGATAGGGGATCATAAGTGCTTAGCTCTGAGTCAGCATCCATGTATGGTTGTTGAATGAATGAATGAATGCATCACTTCATATATTACCACCCCCACCCCCACAAGACCCTAGCTTGGTTTTCACTCCAAGAACGAAGTTTGTATTGCTCTGTCCCTTCCCCCTCCCACTGCACACTCCCCTCCCAGGAGGTCCATGGTAGCGCCCACCTGACAGTCCCAAACCCTAACAGGGCACCTTCCATTTCAACATTATCTGATTTTTATCTCTTATTGTACTTTGCTGACACAGGCTCTCCCCTATCCCTGGTCCTCCAACCTTGAACATCTTAGGACAAAAACCTCCTCCTCCCCTCACATCTAAACCCTGGCTTGGATAAGAATTTAATATTCCTGAGGCTGAATTCCAGAGCAGCGAGGTCACCTTTCTATACATCAGGTGTGTTTTGTTTTAATTAAAAACGTGGAGACTCCTTGATTCATTAAAAGTTTTTCTGAGCACCGACTAAATGGCTAGGTGCCAGGAGCTCCATAGAAACAGGGAGCCACCATCCCTAACTCACGGTCATGCTAGGATGCTATGCTATCACTTTCACAACACCTATTAGGTGTCAGGCAATGTCCTCAAACTTTGTGAATATATTAATTTACAACCTTATTACAACACAATGAGATTTAGTAAATCAGATCTCATTTATCAAACTTTTGCCATCAAAGACCTGTACTGTTACAAACTAATGACCCTCACAGGCCAGGATATGTGATGTGTTGGGTTTGTGCTACCATTAAAAATATTGAATTAGTTGCCAACATATGAAAGCAGAGATATTTATGGAATTGCAGACGTTCAGGGTCACCTGAACAAAATCCAAAAATCTGGCAACACCGAGGTTGCCTTCATGACTGAAGCGGACACTCTCAGTTTCTCACAGTCCCCATCCCTCCTAGATTCTTCCCAACTCTGAGAGTGAGGGCCATTCAGCTTGTGTTGCGATTTTTCTGTCAGCTTCTGTCAGCTTCTATCCACGTATCTCCCGCAAGTGTCTCCGCTTGGTGTCCCAGTTTGATCCGGCAGAGCCGCGCTTGCGGAAGCCAGTCAGTGCCCTCTAGCGGAGGAGTCTGTAATTTGCAGCATAAACGGACGTGGTAAAAACATCCAATCAGAAGGATGAAGGCCAGAAAGGAACCAATTAAAAGCGAGAGG